CACCCTTGCGGCCCCAGAGAACCCGCCCCAATCCCCGAGCTGGACGGGAGCCCAGAGAGCCACCCCACGGCGGTCGGACCGGGCTGGCATGTCTCACCTTTAGCGTAGCAGTTGGGGTTCACCGAGTGATTGGCAAAGCGGATTTTATTTCCTTTGCGGGTGGCATCAACAACGAAATCTATAAAAGCACCAGAAAAGCCCCAAACTGTAGCATGGACAGGCCTGTTTGCAGGGGCTGCAATTGCCACCCAGGCACCAGCCCCTGCCAGGCTGCCCAGGTCCCATCCAGCCCTCGCAGCCCCAGGCCAGTTACCGTTGTTGAGGTTGAAGAGGAAGCTGGACATGTACTTGTCATAGACCTTTCCTCGCCGGTCGGCCTCATCCTGAGAGATAAGCTGGAGAAGGAGAGCACCTTGAGAGACCCAGTGCCTGAGAGCACAGCGAGGGTTGCTGTGAGGAGCGGGACTCACCTCCCTCCTGCCCTCCCACCCCAATGGCCAGAGCTCACCAGGGCTCCAGGGAGGGAGCAGAGACAGGAGCTGGGGCCCCAGGGAGCAGCATGTACATGACATGCTCTTGCATGGTGGAGGGCCCAGAGGTACTGCAATGGGCCCCAAAACAGTGCAAGGTTCAGTCTCCAAACCTGGTCAGACACAGCACAGCACAGCACCCCAGCACGGGCAGCAGCACTGACCTCACCACAGTACTCGGAGATGAACTCGTTCTTCTGCACAGATTCCTTGATGAAAGTCCCCCAGCCAGCGACATCCGATGGTGCCAGCAGCAAATGCTGGAGCCAGGGAGAAAGGGAAGCAGTTACGGGCAGCAGGGCCATCACCTCCCAGCACACAGATCCCATTCTGCTCAGGCTCTGCTGCTGCGAGCCAAGGCAGCCCCGCCAGCAGCCGGTGCCGTCAGTACCTTTTTGAGACCCCGCTGGATGCTGCAGTTCTTGCAGGACACCACTTTGCAGTCCCAGTGCTCCGAAGCGCCGCAGGTGAGGCAGAGGTCTGGGTCGCACTCACGCACGGCCAGGTAGCAGGGGCACTGCTTGGTGTTGCACTGGGTTTTACAGCGGCAGCCCGGGAAGCGGTTCTGACCTGCAGCAGCACAGCACAGGGCTCTGCACCGAGGCGTTCCTCAGACAACAGGGGGCCATGGAGCGTCCCTGCCCTGTGGAAGCTCCTCCCGAGCCAGGTCTCACCCCGGCAGGTTCAGGACTAAGCCTGTCTGCGACCGAGGGCCACGGTGTCTGCCCACAGAAGGAAGGTGCCTTTGTGCTAATGAAGAGCGCTACATCCACAGTGCTCTGGACAGCACACGGGAGGCCCCAGCCAGCCTTCCTGCCCCCAGCGGGACCAGGACAGCACTCGCCAGGAGCACAAGGAGTCGAGGCGAATGTGAGGCAGCCTGGGCACCAGAGCTGGAAGTGAACCAGGAAACACTCTGTGTGCACACTCACACCCAGCAGAGCACAGACCACGCACAGGGTCCTTCCCAGCTGCGTGGCTGCAGATGCCAATCTGCCTCTTGGGACTAGTTATGATGGTTGAAAACAAACTGCTCCGGTAATATAAACACAACAGCCCAGTAAAGGGAATCCTGGAGCCTGAGCTGCCTCCCTGTCACCCTGTGGTCCTTCCGGCCCCAAGCTGTGTCATAACCCTTAACAAATCCACCCGCAGAAGCCACACTAATGTGGACAAGTGCAGTTATCTCCATTGCAGAGCTGGGAATGTGAGCCCAGAGAAGAAAAATAGCCATGGCAGAGCAGTGACTCAATTCCCACCCTAACTGCTGGCCACACATCCTGCTCTCAGGGAACCACAGCATCACCCGCGGTTGCTGATGCTGGGTACAGGCACGCAGATGGGTATTCCCTAACAAGAGCACGTATCTCAGCTGTTGAATCACAGGGCAGCACAGAAGAGCTTCCCTTTGGACTTCAGCAGACTGCTGCGGATGGGCAGAGCAGTGAACGCAGGAATAAAGCCTCCAGCAAGTAGCAGCTCCGCACCCTCCCTGTGGCCTGTGCCAGGAGAGCCGGCTGCTTCCCCCCCACAGGCCCGGGTTTTTCCTTACAGTCAGGGTTGCACTGGCAGAACTTCTCACAGAAATTCTGAGTCATGATGCAAGGGCAGGAGCTGTCACAGGGGTGCTCGGGGTGGTCGCACGGCTGGTAGTTGTACACCTGGGTAGGCGAATTGTCTAGAACCAGAGGAGAAACACCCGGATCAGAAGCTGCACGTCGCAGGAAGGATGAAAAGCAGCACACGCAGGGCTCTGCGCAGGGCAGCTGCAAGCTCCCCACGCGCCTGCAGAGGGCAGGGAGCCCAAGCACCCAGCACCCAGCTCCTGCAGGCACACGGCTGCGATCACCAACACCCACAACTGCTCTGCCCCCAACAGCAGGGCCGGACACCAAACCTTGGCCTCTGCTCTGGTGGGAGCAAGCCCAGGAGAGGCTCAGGAGCCCCGGCACCAGAGCACCCCGAGGAGCGGGGCCGGGGCCGTGGCGCTGTGTGAGCAGGGAACCGGGGGGGACGCAGCCACAGCCAACGTTACC